ATATCTATCCACCGTTCCAGCCATTTTTGCTTTGAAATCATCCTCTATTTTCATGAACAAGGGCTGTTTAGATACCGATTGCTCCTATGTGCTCCGGTTCCTGTGTTAGATGGATAGGATTTTAATTTCATATATAACCTCATTCAAGATGGTTAGTGATCATGATGATCCATGCCCCGGTCTTGCATACGTCTATACAAATCAAGTGTGTCCTTGTGGTTGGGATCCAAGCAAAGAGCGGCCTCACAATCTCGGAGAGCCGAAACAAAGTTACCATGGCTTCGTGGAATGCTGCTCGGAGATGGAGCATTTGCAGATCAAGTTTTAAAAGCAATGGCTTTTGTCAGCTCCTCGACAGCTTCATTTTCTCTTTGGTCATCCATAAGCACTGTTTTCATGTATATTGTATATTAGGCCAAGTAGAAAAGGGAGAAGGTAAATCTTTTGTAAGCTAGTGAAAATGTATTCATGTTTATTGCCAGAATAACCACTTAGTTTGCAAAATTTTTAAAAGCGTTTGTTTTCCAAGACCATATCGATTGTTTGTCCCTGTTTTCTGTTAACATTTGGATTAGCTTTGCCAGGTATGTCCACCATGGTTTCACTTAGACTTGAGGGAACGTAATCCAGAAACTTTTGGAAGGAAGTAAGTTTATTCCCGTTTTGACTGTTACTGCAAGAACTAGACAACTGAAAGTGCATTAAACCAACCAATTACCTGTGCAAATAAGACACCATGAACTCACCAGGAGTGCTCTGTTTCAGTCCCAAATGGATAAATGTTATTTAGAAATGAAGAAAAGTGCAAAAATTCACTCCCAATTGTTAGCTGATACTACTGTTTTGAAGCTAAAAGGATCAGAAGAAAGATAATATTTCAACAATACTGAAGGCTGATATCCTATTCACTGACATGAATAATTTTTTGCTTCATGAAATGGACTAGACAAATAGAAGTATCATTTGCTTAATTATGTATATTTTTATTCTCCAGAAAGTATTTAAGTATCATTTATGAATCAAAAAAAAGCAAACCGCGACATGAAATTCTGCATACGACTGTCAAATCAGAAAACTTTCTTAATCATAGAATATAAAGTTAAAAGGCTCAAGATATACCTGCTGCTCTGTATCTGTATGGATACGTCCTTAAAGGATCCACTCTGTTGCCATTCAAGATCAGCATTTGCCATGTCACGATCACCATACTCAGATCGCTTCTCGTAAGCTGAAGCATTGTTTTGTGCCTTCTCTATGAGCTTTGTCATTTCATTGTAAGCATCTTTCCTTGAACTTTTAAGATGATAAACACGTGCCAACCCTTGATGAGCTCTTGTGTGCTTGATGTCAAGGGCATTCATGTAGCATTGGGCAGCAAGATCCAGGTCACCGCAATCCACATAGATACTCCCTAAATTATTTAGTGCCTGAAACAAAATCACAAAAACATAATCAATAAAACATCCAAGGCAACCAAACAAGGAACGAGGATATTCATGGTTGTTATAATACTTGTCCTTTCCGAAGACCATCTGAAGGACATTTCAGAGCCTCCTCCAGAAGTTCGATTACATGAGATAGAGATTCAGAATCAAGGCTTGTATCTGCTAGCACATATGCCTTAAGAAAAAATGCTTCAAATGACCTCTGAATAGAGATGGACAATTCTGCCTTAGATAGTGCTTCTTCACGGTAGCCAGTGTCATATAGAATCCATCCTTCATATATAAGCCTTTCATACTTTGATATAGCGTTGTTTTGGGCTAACCTCAAACTCCTCATTGCAGCTTTTTGACAGTTTAACCTGCAATTAAATTTGAAATTGTTTTAGTAAATGTAACATTGTGGAAGCCGATTACAAGGTGATAAAAATGCAAAATGTGCAAGTTGATCTTTCCTGCATTTCAAAGTTCAATCCTAAAATAATATGGGTTAATAAAGTGTGAATTGATTTTGTTACGTCAGCCATCAGGCTTCCTAGACATAATTGTATGCCAAAAATAAGATGTAGCTCTACCTTTAAATTATGTATGACATTGAAAATCTCAGGGCTTGTTCAGATTTGTTTTTGGAAACAGTTTTATATCTTTGAAAATGGAGAACTTGCTAGGCAGGTTGTTACTGAAAGCTGTTCTTGGGAGAACTTTCAGAAAAACTTGTCCCATTTTTAGCTGTCTCAGAGACCATTTCCCCTAAAAATGAAATAAGAAAGACAATAATATGCAAAAGAATTCCGCTTGCAAAATTCTCTGGGCACAGAGATAAATGGCTAACCAAATTTATTAAAAAACACTAGTAGTAACCCACACAACAAAACAAATGCAGGAGGAAGATGATTAACAAACTTACCGCAAAAGAAGAAGAGACTGCCGAAATAGTAAAAGGCTCTTTCCAGGGTCATTTAACAGCATTTGGTATATAACAGCCAGAGAACCAATATCATCAACAGAAGACCAACGATCATACAGTTGCATCCAGCAATCACCGGGACCCCAATGCTGAACATGCTGTGTAAGCAGCTCGACCAAGTGATCACCTCTTATCCTCCGTGAACATCATATAATTCGGCTCCAAGGTCAGCAAAGCGCGAATATCTCTCAAAGCAGATTCATAATCTTCCAGTGCAATAAAGAACCACGCCCTAAGCTCAAGGCAGTCGGCGAGACTTTAAACCCTAGGATTTTATCGATCTCTGATATTGCCGCTACGATCTGGTTCTCTTCGGCCAATAAGACTGCTCCATACTTGTAAGGAAATGAAAGAGGACGGGTCCAATTCATTGGCTTTTCTCAAATCCAAACTTCTCTTTGTCCCACATTGTATAGAAAACGTTCTTGGTACATCCACCCAATGGGTTTATACTCTGAAATTAGAGATTGATTATGCTGTACGCTGAAAACATCTTGCCTTGCTTGTAACGGGTTCTCGCAACACCTACCATTGAATAAACATGACCTGAATCAGCTGCTGCCTCGAAACAGGCGTGGGCTTCCTTGTACTCCCTCCTTTCCAACAAAACACAGCCTAATTGATGCATAGCAAGGGCTTTCTGCCACTTTTCAGTAGCACATTCTTTGAGTCTCTCTAGTAACAGCATTGTTGCGGCCGATGTCATGCTATCTTCCATAGGCCACCTGGCTGAGGAAATAATACAACAAGAAAGAACAATGCCCCGCCATCTCCAATTTCTCCCTAGCCTCCGAGCTACAAAATATTTCCTTACCTTCGGGTTATGCAATGAACTCGGAAGCTCCCTCAACACAAGTTGCAGGCAAGAACCCACAAGAAGATTTGAAGTCTCTTCCAAACCATAATCGATTAGAATCAAAGCATCGTCCATGTTGGTGACAATAGACGCTAAATAGGCATCGCAAGCAGATTTCATTTCCTCACAACAGAACCTGTTAGCAAACCAAGGAGCTCCAGAACTACAGTGGGAGAAAACGAATCTAATCTTCTTGTCCTACTAAATACCTCCGTGGCCCTCATTCCCTCACTGATATACCGCTTGGGAGAAATTAATCTTCTCTCTCCCGGACTCCATAAAACTGCCATATAGCAGTGTGTTCAAAGGGGTTGAAAGTGAGGCAATTTTATCCCTAGAACAGTAAATTTCTTCATTATCAATGCAGAAACAAACATCCCTCACCTCTTTTAACCCTGACCTCTCATTCCCAATTGAGAAAATCGATGTGGGTTACCTCGGATTTGCCATGTTCACACCCGCAATGATCGAAGACTGACTTGGAATCGAACCCACAAACCAGAGCAGCCTTCGGACACTCCAGAACTCGCCCACTGCAATGCAATGGCCGAACACCCACAAGCTCGTCCTCTCTCCGGTCGTACCTCAACCACGCCGAGAGCACAACCTTAGAGTGCACGTCGCCAGCGTGCTGCCGTGCCGACTGTAGGCACCGGCGAAGCAGCTTGGGGTCGCCGAGTCCACGCAAAACAGAGTATTGCTCGAGACATATCACCAATTTCTCGGATTCGAAGGAGTTCTCGAGCCGGCGATACAAATCCGACAAGGTTTCGACGAGATCGAGGGGTTTCAGGTGGGGGTCAATAGGGGCTCAAGGATGTCAGTGGTGGGCAGCCCATAAGAAAGGAGACTTTCGGACGCTGAGACCGTGACGGTGTCGTTTGGGTTCGATAGAATGGAGCTGATTGTGAGGTTCTCAGACTGGTGGTGGTAGATTTGCTTGCCGGCAGTCGCAGTGCCTCCGCCAGCGGAGGAGTCGGAGGGGTTGAGGGCGTGAACTTGGGTTGTTCTATACCGCTCTACGACCTTGAGACCACTGCGACGGTGTTTCTCATAGGAAGCGTGTATTGACGGAGGAGACTTGCAAGTTTTGATCTGTTAAGGGGATACTTGGATTGATCTCCATTTTCTGTCGAGATTGACATTAGGGGCAGCTGGATAGTGAAGCAAATGGATGATTGACCAACTCTGTGCTCCTCCCTACGCCACCACCATTAGAGAGAGGGGGGGGGGGGGGGGGGGAGAGAGACTAAAAGGCTCAGCTTTGTTTGTTCGAACATTGGGAAAAGATGATTGAGCTATCTTCACTATTTTATCATGAGTCGAAAAAACAAAAAAAAAAAAGGTTAACTGTACCATGTCTGTATTTATTATTACTCATCTGTTTAATATAAAAATTATTAAAAATAGATGGCAATGTTTGTACTTCTCATCTTCCATAGAGACAGCTACAACCAGAAGCAAACCAAGAAAAACCAAGAAGGGACCCTGTTTCTACAGAGCCGGCTGGACCGGTCCACCGGAAAGTTTGGCACCTGTCACCGTGTTGACGTTGTAAGCCCACGCTTCTTCATGGGATGTTGAATAAAATTACAGTACTAATTAACATCTAAAAATATCCAAGTACACGAACGAAACAACTGCAATTTGGCAATCCTTTCATGATTTTTCCGTCCCGCAAAGTCAACTGGAGAAATTACGGCTGATTTTCCACTGACCCGATCAACTTTCTGGGATATTTTAATGTTTCTGTTTTCTTTTATTTTGGTTAGAAAGAAAGTTAATAATGATGGTATCATTCCTTTGTTATTTGGACCGGAGACCTGAATGCACCCTGTCTACTCTGAATCACTGAGTCGTCTTCTTCAGTACAACATGATTGGTGTGAAAATGAGTGATGAGCGGGCTCCTTTACAGTGGACAGTGGGCGCATGCTGCCAATTCACTCCCCTTTTCATAATGTACTCGACTCCTGGGAAAGAGTGAAATTCATGAATCATCAAACATTGGACGGCATAAATTTATATTAAGTGGCAACTTCTTTAAAGGTTTGGCCTTTTTCGTGAAAGTAGAACTAAATCTTTTTTATTATTTTCTCAAAGAATACAATAATAGTCTTGTGATTTAGTTTATTAATTTAAGGTCATTGAGTTTTCAAATTATGGCAATTTAGTCCCTCCATTACCTTTTTCAGGAGGGATTATTTTGTCTAAGGATAAAAAGAATTAGTTAAATATCATTGTCTGTGCGCTGAGCAATATTAGAAAAAAATGTAACTTGACATAAATTACGCAACAAATTAGTCAGATGTAATATAATGACCCTTTGACTACCAGAACTAGATGGAGATGAAGAGACTAAATGTTGCTACAAATTAGATACTAAATATTAAAATACAAATTGAAACTATTGAAACGAAGGAAAATGAAGGCACTAAATTGTTAAAGTTTGAAAATTATTACACATTAAACATAGAAATTGAAACTATTGAAGCTTACAGGCAAACCCAAGTTATTGGAACTCCATTGTAGTTCTTTCATACGTTTCATGACCAGTTTTCTTGTTTCCAATTCAAGAATGTTTCACCTTAAAGGCGAGGCCTTGTTAAAGTAGGGTTTATGAATCCTTTTTACTTACCTCCTCTGTTAAGAGACTTGATTACTATCAGATTAATTTTTTAAAGTTAGATATAATACTATTTTTTTAATTCATTACGTTATTATCAAAAAAATGTACTTATTAATGAAAAACAGTGCCCTCATTTATAATCTAATATTCCTTTTTACTCTATTCAATATATATTCATTACACTTATTCTTTTTAACGGTCACTAATAATTTCAAAAACTCAACAATATGTGGTAAACTAAATTTTGTTGTATGTCAAGGAAGGTAGACAGTGGAGCAGCTGATTAATGAATTGTAAATTAATTAGCTGAGATGTCTTATCATCAACAAATAAATCGTTCAAACCAATCCTCAATTGGTTACCAAAAAGACCAAAAGGAAAATCAAACTAGAGATTCCTCACCAATCATGTTCTTGTTGATGCCTGTTACTCATGAACTAATCCAACGCACTTACCCTAGATGGAGTTGGATCATACAGGATGGTCCAAGGATCAACCAATTTGGATTTCTGCTAAATAAATCACTTTCAGAAGTGCTTTAAATTTCTTATTCAGTTTGAGTTTTTGAATTTTGGGTTATTTTGAAAATTTAAAAAAAAACTATATACTTTAATAACTCCGTTATATATTAGTATGTTTTCGTAATATTCAATCTCAGGAAAGAAAACTGACAAGGAAATACAAACTTAGGTCACATAGCTAGGCAATACTAAGTAATATATTGGGTTATTTATAATTGATTAAAATCTATAATGTTTGGAATTTTCGTTGGTGACTTACCATTGGTTTTTGTTAAACCGAACCAAATTAATACAAATTTAAAAGCAATTTAATTAATTCATAGCAAAAGGAGAAAAAAAATTTAGATTTTTATTGAAATAATGCAATAATTATGTTTATAAAGAGAGGATGCAATTTTTAATAAATACAACAAAATCTTAAAAATGAAAATAATTCAGAGAAGGCAAAAATTTATATCAAAAAAAATATAATAATGCTCAAAAACTCAATTTGAATCAGAATTTGGAGAAAATTTTAAGGCTTAATAATATTGAGTTGCAAAGAACACTAACTCCAGATAGATCATGACTAAGGCAAGCTAATCGTTTATATTTCTGTCAATTCAAATGATTTCGAAACTTTTCTGAAATTTGTGTTATGTTACTATTTTGGTTAGAAATTTTAATTTTTATATTTTACTTTAATTTAAATTAATTCAGATAATTATTTTAGTTGTCTGGTTGGTTTACTTCAAGTTATCTTCCCTTGTGGAGCTACTCTGCCCCGAGGGAGGGCCAATACACCCACTCAAATTTTGGCAAATAAGAGTTTATACTATAAATTAATTATAATGTTCTCTAATTTTTTAATTAGAGGACTTATATGAATAAATTAAAAATTTAAATCATATTTAAAATAAATTTGGGGTTGTAGGAGCCAAGTGTTTAAAATAAAAAAATAAATATGATGAGAGACTGTTTTAAAACATGAATGAACGAGGGCTCGTTGGTCTGCACTTGCTTTTCTGCTTGTAACTAACTTCGTGAAAACCAACAATAAGCTCTACGAAGGTGAAACATGGAGGGGCTCCACAATGACGAAATATGAATGGACTTTGCAATGAGTTTTGCAAGATTGCGATGCCGAAAGCTGATACACCCACTCCAAGAGTGTATTTGATCTGATTATTTAAAAATTTTTATTTGATAAAAAATTTGATCGACATAATTTGATTTAAAAAATCTGTAATTCAAAATAAATAAAACGAATATAAATCTTACTCATCCGATCTATTAAATATCTGAATCCGATTATAATATATATATATATAATATTATATATAGATACTATATTATTATATATATAATATATACATATAACTATTATTGTGTTATATGTAGATGACTTTAAAAAAAGTAAATAAGGTATGTCACAATTTAATTTATAAAATTAAACAAATTTCGTTAGCTAAATATTTTAAATAGAAATAAATAATTTATATAGTATAATTAATCTTAATATTTTTGTTTCCTCTATTTTTGTTCTAAAAATTTTGTGATTGAATAACTCATCATTATTTTTAATTATTAGATTTTTTAGTATTAATTTTTACAAAGTATACTAATTACATACTTCATTTGTCAGATATTTCTTTTTTTATCATTAACCTTTGTGTGGATAAATGACATAATATTTAATATAATTTTTGCATTAAATTTACTTCAAAAATTTACTTTTTTTTAGTTATATAAAAGTCATGGTTAATGTCAAAAAAGAATTTTAAAATAACATTTACACTTTTCTATCATAAAAATAATCATTTAAATAATAAAAATTTTCAAATACAATATTTTTATTTTATATAAAAAACTAAATTTTGGAGAAAAGAAGAAATCCAAACAGTTTCTAAAATATTGTACAAAATCACTCTAGCTTAGATTGAGGGGAAAGACTATTATTAGCAAGTCATTTTCAAATAAAAATTTATGGTGGATTAAAATATAATTATATTGTATCAATAATTTTAAAATTCAATATTATTTATCAGTCTATTATATTTTTTAAAGTATTTTTTGTTTTATTTTTAAAATTTTTTTTATTTGGATTCAATTCTTTTTTTGAATATCAGATTTTTTTTGAATTTAAATATAGTAATATTTATTATAAATCTGACCGAATATAAGATCGAATTCGAATATAATATATGATTATTAGATTCAGATTTAACTTTACCGTAACCGATCCGAATCAAATCCATTAATAACCCTACCCACTACACTTAAATCCTGACCCCATCACTGTACGAGTTCTGTTATAAAAAGACGTTGGACTGTAGTGAAAAGCCATATTCCTCCCAACATTTTCTTCTACCAAACTTATTCTTGTATTATGTTTTGCTCCAAATACGCCATTACAAATCATGATAATCTTATAAATTCCTTTGTACGTGTTCAGTTGTTGCATATTATTGATGTAAAATAAAATTGAACGGATTCAATGTATGTTAAAAATTTATTTGCAAATTCTCTTTTACATATCTGGGGTAGGGACAGAAAATCTTTAGGAGAGTAATCCTCGTGAG